ACTCCAAATATATAATTAAAAAATAGAACTTACCTGAAAATCAATGTTTGGTATCATAACCTCTTTGTGACACTTAATGCATGTACTTTCATGTTGAACTTTTGTTACTGTTTATAGCTGTAGGAAGAGCTGTGTGTTATGAGCTAGAATAATATTTTTCTTAGGGACTTCAAGTCTATTCTAAGTAATAAAAATGAAACACACAATCATGTCTTGAGTCTGAAGCTTACAACTATGAACTAAAAGTTAACATAGAATACTTCCCTTGGCTTGAATTAAGTAGAGCAGTGATGACAGTGCCATTTCTGTGGCTGATAAATGAATATAAATCCTGAGCTTATTTCCTTCTCCTGTTCTTTCCATCATTTGCTGACATGCTTCTGAAGTCTCAAAGTTTGAGATATAAAGAGAAATATGCAATATATTTTCTTATTACCAGTTTACATGTTTTGGTGACTACTTTGAATTTTGCACTCGTCAAGAGAAACTAGCTAAACAAAATAACTATTTGGACATTCTATAGTCATTTTCAATTGATGGTGGGCTTACTATTGATGATATGAAATTCATGTGCAAGTGGCATACCATTTCTGAAGACAGTGTATACATAGTCCTGTGAAAAACTATAGACTTGGTTATATTTATTGATGTTATTTGTTTCAGAGCCAAAGCAGCAAAATTCAGTCCTGTAATTAATATTATATTATTCTATGTGTTTAAAAATTAGGAATAATAAGTATAATAAAGTTCTTACAAGTGTCAATGCCTTATTGCTAAATGTGGAATTTTTGCATCTATTTATAGGAACAAAGTTATTAGCTAAAATAATTATGAACTAAAGTGGAGAAAGTGTTAAGAATACCTGCAGAGAAACCTGTAAAGAAGCGGACAAAGCACAGACACACGCACAGTGTAGAAGCAGTCAGACAAGTGACAGCTCCTCCCTAACAACATGTTTATTAACTCAAAAAAGTTACATATTACCCATTACAATGACTACATTCTAACTAGTATTCCTTTAACCCTGAGTGCTAGCTAACTGAGAGAAGATCCAGGTTAATACAAACACAGAGCCTCTTTCCTCCACGGACATTACCATGGAAAGCAGGTAGTGCACCTGCATAGTTATCCTAATAGCTTCAAGGGAAAACTGCTGGGCATTCCAAGCCTGAGAAACAGG